GGCTAGTTTTTAAACAACAGACGCCACTCTAGGCTATTTTTTAAACCACAGACATCGCTCTAAGCTAGTTTTTAAACAACAGACAGTGCTCTAGGCTAGTTTTTAAATAACAGAGAGCACTCTAAGCTAGTTTTTAAACAACAGACAGCGCTCTAGGCTAGTTTTTAAACAACAGACAGTGCTCTAAGCTAGTTTTTAAACAACAGACAGTGCTCTAAGCTAGTTTTTAAATAACAGAGAGCACTCTAAGCTAGTTTTTAAACAACAGACAGCGCTCTAAGCTAGTTTTTAAACAACAGACAGCGCTCTAAGCTAGTTTTTAAACAACAGACAGTGCTCTAAGCTAGTTTTTAAACAACAGACAGTGCTCTAAGCTATTTTTTAAACAACAGACAGTGCTCTAGGCTTGTTTTTAAATAACAGAGCACTCTAAACTAGTTTTAAAACAGACAGCGCTCTAAGCTAGTTTTAAAACAACAGAGAGCGCTCTAAGCTAGTTTTTAAACAACAGTTTGGTCGGCACTCCATTTTGGTTTTTTAACAGCAGAAAGCACTCTATTCTATCGTTATTTAAAAGCAGATGGTGCTCTAGGCTAGTTTTTAACAGCAGGTGGCGCTCTATGTTATTATTTAACAGCATACTGCACTCTAGACTAGATTTTTTTTTAGATGGAGCTCTAGGCTAACAGGAGATGATACTCTATGCTAGTTTTTAACAGCGCTCTATTTTAGAGTTTTTAACTGCAGATGATGCTCTAGATTAGTTTTTAACTAATTTAGCAAGTTTTTGATGAAATGATGATAAACTTATGTCTAAATCTTTATCAACTTTTCGAACCATAGGACATTTGCATGCATCTACATGACTGAGGGGTGATTATGTGGGCAATGACAGAATTTAAATTCACAATTAAGCAGTAACTGCTTGATGATTGGGGACAAAATTGAGAAACAGCGACCTTTCTCCACAGAATCCTCACAGTTTCAGCTACAAATCTTCTTTAATGTTCTTCTGTAGAAAAAAACACCTTCATTCATCGGCTGGCCTGAGGGTGAGTATAAATTACCAGCCATTCCTCAATTTTCTGTTGAACTATGAACTTTACTAGCGAGCTCTCCCATTATGAAATATGAATGCGGTTTGCAGCTCCTCCAAACTAAATCTTTGAACAGCCCTCACACACTACATTGTAAAAAAAATATCAGAAAACTGGCAGTTTTACTTACTTTTTGATTCATTTTTATTTGTATTTCATACTTTTGAGTTGCATTATAGGATTATCTTTCTTGCAAAATCTTTTAACCTTAAAAAATTACAAAAAAAAGTTACTTTTATGAACATTTTTAATAGTTTAAAGTGATATATTGTCTGTGTTGGTGTTGTATGTTATGGTATAAAACCCTGTAATAAACTGACAGTACATTTTCTGTTATTTTACACACTTATTTTTCTACATATAAAACATTTCTTAGACATTATATTATTTCAAACTAATAAAATGTCAATAAAAGTCACTATGTTAAACTGTAGGGTTGAATTTTCAACATTTAAAGTCGACAGAGCAAAGATAAAGATCCCATAATGCAATTCACAACTGTACATAAATGGTACCGTGTACAGTAATCAGTCTGACATCAAATCATCAGTAAAATCCCAGATCTTCAAAACCTCTACACCTCTCGTCTGTATTTCCTCAGCATTAACTGAACTCTCAGAAAAGCATTTAGAAAAACCAGACAACTCGTGTTTTCTGTCGAGGCAAGGTGAAGAGGAGACGAACCCCTCGTTGGCCTGAAATAAAGCTGAAAACAGCAGAAATGAAATGTCACTTTCCTAGAATAGCCGTACTGGACAAGAGACAGCGCCGAGCTGCAACACATGGCCAACTAATGACAAGAAATATAAAAACAGGCCAAAAAAGCCAAAACTGTCTGGTCTGGAAGGGAGAACGCGGAGGTGTGAAGGTGTTGAAAACTGGACTAAACACATTTACACCATATGGAAGGTGTGAGCGCAGACTATTCTTGAGTTATGAACGTGAGACGGGGAGACATAAAAAAAAAGACATATTAACTTAGGTTTCTTTACAGTACGTCTAAATACCAGCCTTTAAAAGATTCACCATTGCAGTTATCACAGTCAGTGTTCTTTCTCTAACATCTAAAAATATTAAAGGTGATGTTTATTCCTGCTTTTTTGCATGGTTGCTAGGGTTTTAGCCAGCAGTTGCTAAGGTGAATGAGTGTTAGCATGCTGGTAGGTGGCTAATTTGTTTTTCAGATTGTATTTTTATTTGCGATTTAAGTAACAAGTGCAGTTTTTGCATACTTTCCACACCAATAATAATAATAATAATAATAATAATAATAATAATAATAATATCAGCAGTATTATTTTTACTAATTATTATAATTAATAAAATAATTAATACAATTGTAATGCATTATTATTAATATAAACAAATAAAAGGCTTAGAAAAGTAGTAATATTTAAGTGTTAATGTTTTTATAATTTGTTGTTTTTATTGCTTCATAATTTAAATAAATATTAAATAATATGTTATTTTTAAGCCACTTAGTTTGTAAAAAAATATTAATATATTAATAATAAAGTTGAATATTTGATCATATAAATGCAATAGCAAATTTAATATTATTTTAAAACTATAGCTTGAACATATGTTAAACAATAAAGACAATAATAATTATGATTATTTTATATAAATAAAGTGAAATACATGTATCATATTTTAATAACTGAGCTTTTAATACTTCAATAATAATAATAATAATAATAATAATAATAATAGCTAATGTTTTTCTACTGAAAGTAACAATTTCAATTTAAATGAACTAAATGTATTCAAATAAATTAATAATTTGATACAAATTACTGCTATTATTCTTTTTAATATTGATATCATAAATCAAACAAACACACACAAACACACAAATCATAGCCCAACATAATGAATAAAATGCTAATTTACCACCCATTCCAAACAAATATGATCAGTGTAAAGATTTCACAACTACAAGGTCTCCACTATCTACACCATTTGGCAGTAACTCCTGGTACCAGCTTTAATAAGTGTGGTTCACTCCCATCCCACAATGCACATGTGAAAAAATTAATAAATACATCGCGAGCAGAATAACCTCAGTCACAAAACATCAATAACAAACAACAACAACAAGATGACAGACATTTTGTGAAGATCAAGATGTGTGTTTGTGAGCTGGAGATGAGCCTGAGAGGAAAAAAAAAAAGGAGACCGGCAGCAGGTGAGAGAGGGGGAGATCAGCCGGGCAGAGGAGAGCAAATAGAAGATGATGTCCTGCTTCAGTTCAGAGACTCGCAGATACAGGCTGCGTTTATACTGGTGCAGATTCAATTAAAAACATACTGTGATTACGCTTCAGCATCCACAATACAATGAATGGTTGGGGGTTCATTCCACTGTGGTGTATGGATCCAATTTGTAAAATCAAAGCAGGATTCATAAATACACAAATCTAATCTGTAAAATCAAAGCATGATTTGTAAATACACAAATCCAATCTGTAAATTCAAAGCACGATTCCTAAATACACAAAAAACAATTCATAATTTCAAAGCATGATTCATAACTACACAAAACCAATCCATAAATTCAAAGCACGATTCATAAATACCAAATCCAATACATAAATTCAAAGCACGATTCGTAAATACAAAAATCCAATTCGTAGTTTTGAAGCACGATACGTAAATAGACAAATCCAATTCATAATTTCAAAGCACGATTCGTAACTACACAAAACCAATCCATAAATTCAAAGCACAATTCATAAATACCAAATCCAATACGTAAATTCAAAGCACGATTTGTAAATACAAAAATCCAATTCGTAGTTTTGAAGCACGATACGTAAATAGACAAATCCAATTCAGAAAATCAAAGCACGATTCGTAAAGACACAAATCCAATTCGTAATTTCAAACCACGATTCGTAAATACACAAATCCAATTCATAATTTCAAAGCATGATTCAAAAATACACAAATCCAATTCGTAAATAAAAAACACGATTCGTAAACACACAAATCTAATTCGTAATTTCAAAGCATGATTCGTAAATACACAAATCCAATTCATAATTTCAAAGCACGATTCGTAAATACACAAATCCAATTCGTAATTTCAAAGCATGATTCAAAAATACACAAATCCAATTCGTAAATAAAAAACACGATTCGTAAACACACAAATCTAATTCGTAATTTCAAAGCATGATTCGTAAATACACAAATCCAATTCGTAATTTCAAAGCACGAATCGTAAATACACAAATCCAATTCGTAAATTCAAAGCATGATTCTTAAATACACAAATCCTATTCGTAAACTCACACAAAACCAATTCGTAATTTCAAAGCAGGATTCGTAAATACACAAATCCAATTAATTTGGCGAAGATTTTTATGATATTTACTTGTAAATACACGAATTGTGTTGTATTTATAAAATGTGTTTTGAATTTACAAATTGGATTTGTAAATATAAATTGTGCTGCGCATATATGGATTTTATTTTGTAAATGTAGCATTTTTGATACTGATCTGGCTCCATAGTGGCGACCCCAGATGATTAAAAGACTAAGCTAATACTTTAAGCAACTGTCATGCATTTCCAGTAAAATAGTGTCAAATAGAGATCTTTTAAAAATCGCTATAACCACACCAGTGTAAACGCAGCCAAAGACAGTGTGTGTGGGGAGGAGAAAGAGCGCAGGGTGAACAGAACGGCCTCTTAAAGGCTTTGTGTGTGTGTTTCTGCCAAGGCATGCATGGCTTTTCTCCGTGTCATTCCGGCCATGCCTGTGGAGGCTTTGGGGATCTGCTGAAGGGAAAGTGTGGACTTTAGCTGTAGGCTAGAGCAGACTGCAACCATGCACTCGGACGCAGGCGGCGTCCCGTAAGCAGCCTTTACCGGGATAACACACAGAGGATTAGCTCACCCTCTGAAGGCGCCGCGATCGGCTGGTGGTCCATTGGAACAAAAACAGGAGCGTGACTGTGCCATAATGGAGGGCTAACAAAGCCCCGCTCGTCTTTAGGAGTGAGGGAAAACAGACAGATAACAGCAGACAGGACACACAAAAAAACAGTCATAAAACACACCTCTGAGCTGGTCACGTTCATTCCTGCAGGAGGAGAATAATAATGTTATTCAGTAAAAGATGATATGCAAATTAGACGGTGAAATGAGATGGCACTGGCCATGCTTAAAAATTTTAAAGGATTCAGAGTTGAAAATACAGTACACTTCATGACAAAAGTTTTGTCATCAATTAGTTGTAAGAGCAACAAATAAAAACTTGACTTCTAGCTGATCATCACAACAGTAGTAGACCTTTTGTAACTTGCGTGTACCCAAGATTCTACAAAAATCAGTCAAGTTTGGTGAAAGAAAACTCATGGTTTGGGGTTACATTCAGTATGGGGGCGTGCGAGATATCTGCAGCGTGGACGTCAACATCAACAGCCTTAGGAATCAAGACACTTGTGCTGCCCTTTACATTACAAACCACAGGAGAGGGCAAATTCTTCAGCAGGATAGCGCTCCTTCTCATTCTACAGCCTCCACATCAAAGTTCCTGAAAGATAAGGACAAGAGGCTCCAGGATTGGCCAGCCCAGTCACCAGGAATAAACATTATTGAGCATGTCTGAGGTAAGATGTAGGAGGAGGCATTGAAGATGAATCCAAAGAATCTTGATGAACTCTGGGAGTCCTGCAAGAACGCTTATTTTGCCATTCCAGATGACTTTATTAATAAGTGATTTGAGGCACTGCAAAGATGTACAGTATGGATGCAGTCCTCCAAGGCCACACACAATATGAACTCTTTTTCCACTGCAGCATGACTTTATATTCTATAGTGAAAATTATTTTTGTTAAGTGACAAGACTTTTGTATAAACAAAGTCAGACCTTACTGTCCTAATTAAATAATTAAAAAACAAGGCATGATCATATTTTATTTTGGTCAAATACGCGTAATTTAGAAGCCTTTGCCTTTCATATAAGCAAGTTCTGATAGCAAATGATCAACTAGAAGTCAAGTTGTTATTTGTTGTTCTTAAACTTAGATAGACGACAAGACTTTTGTCAGGTAGTGTATATAGGACTGGGATTGATTGTTTACAGTAAAACATAGGTTTTTATCATGTGTTTTGTCAATTAATTGGCTAATTCGTATGAATTTATACAAGTTCAGGCAAACAAAAGTTGATGATTTTTAAAAGGAGGAATGGCATAAACCCAACCGTGATAGGGAGATGAGAAAATCGTAGTTAAATGTACACGAGAGATTATTATTCATACGATTTAGCCGCTAAATTAAACATTAAGAATTGACAATTAGGCATGGGCCAGTATAAGATTCTGACAACATGATAACCTTGGCTAAAAATATTACGGTATCACGGCATTGTGATTAATACTGTGATTATCAAAATAAGTTATTTTAAAATGTCTGGGTAAAAAACAACCCCCCCACCCCCACCCCCATTGAACACAGTATATGGTATTTTAAGAAACATTTACAATATTTTGAACAAGTAACCTTTAATGTAGAGGTTCCTTTTCTGCTGGAGATACTGTTGCCCTAAAAAACTAAATAAAATTGTTGTGAAAATCACTTACATTTACCTTAGAAACGGTAGACCAGAAAAACCCTGGCGGTTTTAAAACTTTAGCTCCGTCCCAAATCGCATACTTATGCACTATTCTACTCTATTTTGTAGTATAAATAGTGTAAGTAGTGCGTTCACACTGAAAACTCTAAAAATAATAAGTGCACTTTAATTACCCGGATGATGCACTCATTCAGCCAGTAAAATAAAGTGTGTAATGATGGACACTTCACGCACTCAACGACCGCAGGTTTGCTTACGTAGCGGAAGGGGCGGAGCTATCAGACGCACATGTTGGATAACTTTATTTATTTTTGATGGTGAAAGCAAAATTCTCCTACGAGAGTGATTATATCCTCCCGATGGTGAATGCGGTTATACTCACGGCACGTATTAATTGATAATTCAGTCGTTTATTTCACTGATTTGGCAACCGTCAAACGTCATCAGGGAAACGGTTTGAATTTCCACTTAGTAAAAAAACATTAGTGTGCCATTTGGGACGCCACTACATACATATACTATCCTGTTAAGTGTGTAAGTGCATAAGTACATAGTGCATGAAAGCATAGTGTATAGTGTGCCATTTGGAACGCATCTCTTGACTTTTCCAAACCGTGGTAAACCTTGAAACCGGTTATCATCCCATGCTTATTGGCAATAGTGCTGAATAATATTATATAGTTTAATCAGAAAAGAGACATTTCAGAGGTGACAAAAGTCATTATGTTTTGATTTTTTGGAAATTCAATACATAATTATAAAATACATATTTATTTCTTGATAACGCTGAGGTAATTTTTTGTTTGATGTGTGTTCAAACTACTTATTTAAAATGAGCTGAAACAGCACAGTTCATAAGTTTTAATGGGGACAACTTGATTGTTTTATGTTCAATCTGCTTAAACTTGTCGAAATCAACAAGTTATCTTATGTTGCCCAACACACATTGACTGTGTGAAAACCAGATTTTTTTTATTTTTATTTTTTACAGAATATTCACAGTTAAAGTCAAAATAAATAGAATTGCAACTATTTGAAACATTTTCTCTATATGGAAAGAAGTTTTTTGTTCAACACATTTTAAAAGGCAACTGATGGCTTCTAATGACTCATTTATTTTGCCTTTGTCAGGATGAAAGTGCATAAGATATTTCACCTAACATTTTGCAAGATTTAGCTTAAAATGCAATTTAAAGGCTTAACTAGGTTAATTAGGCCAATTATAGACCAGCTAACAATGATTTGTTCTACAGCCAATCAAAAATAGAATTTCTGAATAGGGTTAAAAATATTGACATTACAATCTGCTACATTTAAGTGTTAAACGGCTTTAACTCCAGCTAAACTAAAAGAAATTAAAGTTACAAATATGACAGGATTAAAAATTTTATAGAAAACATTGTGATACTTCTGTGATACTAGAAAATATTTCTATTTCCATTAAACCATGTGAAGGAAAAGTAATTTATTTTTATTACTGTACTTTTGTGTCTTTATTTTTTATTGAAAAAAAATGTTTAGACTAACAACAGAATAATTAACATTTCTATTTTGTATGATCCATATATTAACCAAACACACTTCTTCTTTCCTACTGTGTTGCAAACTTCTTAGAAGGAACTGCTGACAAGAGGGAAAAAGCAGAATAAGAATAAATATAGTGCGAGGGCGCTTGCTCCAGACTGCTGTCTAATAAGAATCTTGACATGTCACAAGGATGAACTGCTCAGTTCTGGTATGCTGAGAGGTGTTAAAGAAAGAGGAAGTATGTTTGGGTACAAGAGCAAAAGGACTGCAGAATGACTGATCAGTGTTGTTACAGCAAAACTCCACCTGTTAATATCAGTTGTTTATATATGCTGGAGTCAGTTTATATATGCTGGAGTCAGTTTATATATGCTGGAGTCAGTTTATATATGCTGGAGTTAGTTGCAAACCTTCTGAATGTAATTCATGTATTGCATTGGGGTAACGTAACCCAGAGCTCTTTATTCGATTTACTTATTTCTATCTAATAAATTAGTAATATTTTTGACATCGAAGAAAACCCTCTCCTGACCTTTTGTATTGAACACGCATGGAATTGGCTTGATATTCCAACAATCACTTGGGAAATATTTGACAAAGAAGCACACATTCAGTTGAGCTTTGTTTGTTTGTTTGCTTGCTTGTTTGTTTGTTAAAATGTTTTATGTGGATGAAAAAATGCAATTCTTCTCATACATATGTTCTTATATCTGGTTTCATTTGAAAATAACATAAAAAAAAACATGGATTGGATACTAGTGCGGTCTATTTTAGGTTCAAATTTCTTTAAAGAAGGTCTTGTTACGATTGTCATCAGAAAAAAAGCAGATTTTTGTTAAAAATAAATAAATAAATTTTCCCAGATATGGGTTGCGGCTGGAAGGGCATCCGCTGTGTAAAAACTTGCTGGATAAGTTGGCGGTTCATTCTGCTGTGGCGACCCCAGATTAATAAAGGGACTAAGCCGACAAGAAAATGAATGAATGAATGAATGAAATAAATAAATGAATAAATAAATAAAATAAAAGCAGGAATATTTAGTCTCAGCTGCATAATTACATGATCACACAGCCATAAGGGTTGGAACACTCCTGACCTCTCTCCTCCCGGAGCAGCTGACATTATAATAGGTAATGAACAAAAGCAAGACCTAAAGATAGTGGAGAATGACTGCAGCGCTTGGAATTAAAAGTGTATATATAAAAGTGTATTCAAAAATACCCAGTACAGTGCCAACAACTGTCTTTGATTGACACTGGAAAAAAAAAAAAGGATGAGACGGCAGTGTTTCAGAACAATGCCGGCGCATTACAGCCTAATTATACGATGACATGTAAAGAATCCCATATAATCCCCTCAGCTGTGCTTGGCTTTCCCACTCCGAAATAAAACTTGGAGTCAAAGAAAAAGAACAAAACACATTAACAGTTATTATGCCTCTGGCTTGCAGAAAAATCAAACATTTATGATGCAAAACTTCACAGCTTTTGAACTATGCGTCCACGGCAGAGTTTATAGGTTTGCAACGGGAAGACACAGAGGAAAACATTCAAGAGCTAATACTTTACAGTTGTTATTTTATGTTTGCCCTGAAGACTGCGAATAATGATTATTACAGGTTCCTCTAGTTTTCTTGAAACCTTTTACTTTCATCCTTTAAGTGTTTATTTTCTAAACATTGTAATCAGGAAATGCATTATGTACATTAATAAAGGCACAATACTTCAATGAGGGAAGGAACTCCAATCCCATGAAGCTCTTAATGACACGACCAAATTAAACTTGGATGATGCAATGGCAGCCAAAGGATAACAGCAATAATGCGCTCACTGCAAACTAGCTATAGGTGAAGTGGAGAGACAGTGATAGAGCCAATTCGGTGGA